ATACAAATGCTAGTAATAACACAGTCGCAGCTATTGCATAATATAGTACAGCTAAAGTAATATGTTTTGCATAATGTTTAAGGTACTACTTGTGCAAAACAATCACTTCAGCAAGGTTTCTACTATTTTCTTTTAATTTTGATAAAATTTATTTTTGTTCTATATACAGTATATATACAGTGGTGTGAAAAAGTGTTGGCCCCCTTCCTGATTTCTTATTTTTTTGCATGTTTGTCACACTTTAATGTTTCAGATCATCAAACAAATTTAAATATTAGTAAAAGATAACACAAGTGAACACAACATGCAGTTTTTAAATGAAGGTTTTTATTATTAAGGAAAAACAAAATCCAAAACTACATGGCCCTGTGTGAAGAAGTGTTTGCCCCCTAAACCTAATAACTGGTTGGGCCACCCTTAGCAGCAACAACTGCAATCAAGCATTTGCGATAACTTGCAATGAGTCTGTTACAGCGCTGTGGAGGAATTTTGGTCCACTCATCTATGCAGAATTGTTGTAATTCAGCCACATTGGAGGGTTTTCGAGCATGAACCGCCTTTTTAAGGTCATGCCACAGCATCTCAATAGGATTCAGGTCAGGACTTTGACTAGGCCCGTCCAAAGTCTTCATTTAGTTTTTCTTCAGCCATTCAGAGGTGGACTTGCTGGTGTGTTTTGGATCATTGTCCTGCTGCAGAACCCAGGTTCGCTTCAGTTTGAGGTCACGAACAGATGGCCGGACATTCTCCTTCAGGATTTTTTGGTAAACAGCAGAATTCATGGTTCCATTTATCACAGTTCTTTATGCAAAAAAATAAGAAATCGGGAAGGGGGCCAACACTTTTTCACAGTGGTGGGCAAAATTATTAGAATACTAATATTTTCAGCAGCTAAAAAATGGTTTTAAGTCAGTTTGTAATCATTTTTTGGATTCTCATTCGCTACAAAATTCTACAAATTTTAAAAACAATTATATTAGATCTGATTAGTGTAGAATCAACTTCCAGGATTCAAGTTTTTCACAGTTTAATGTAAAGCTTTCAGCATTTGAAAGGCCTGTTTAAACACCCTGGGCGCTGGTCGTGCAGTTTCAAAGCAGTTTCCGAGGTGACAAAAAAACTTTTGTCAAGGCTGTCAACGGTCACAGTGAGAAACATGTTATCCAGCATCAGCATATAATGATGTACAGCACATACAAACAGCCAAACCTCTTATTCCAATTAAGCAAACGAACAAATAAACAAGCCTACCATCATCAAGCACTGTCTAACACTGTCTAACCACGATAAACAGGACCACATTTAAAAAACGAGATGCTAATTGAGATAATGATCACCAAATGAGAAGCAGCAAGATTACGGATCTTTACCAATAATATACTGTAGTTAAAACGTTGTTTTCATGACAGTTTAAAGTTTCTAATGTACTTCTGCACAGGAAACTCAGCCACTGATTATAGAGACATGCTATATTATTATTAGCAGTGTCTGGCAAATGATAAAACACCAAAAAAGCCACAGATTTACACTAGAGAAGAACTTGACAAAGAACCCATTTAAACACCCACAACCCCTTGTAACAGCAAGGCTTTCACAGGAAAGCACAACTCAAATTTACATCAGAAATATATATTCTTGTAATATACACTACCATGAAATAAATACTTTTATTCATCAAGATTGCATTCAATTGATCAAATGTGACAGTTAAAACATTTACAATTTTACAAAATATTTCTTTTTCATATAAATACTGTTCTTCAGAACTTTCTATAATCCTGAGAAAAAAAGTATCATGGTCTCCACAAAAAATATGAAAAATATGTTCTCAAAACTGATAATAAAGGAATGTTTTTGAGCAGTGAATCAGCATATTAGAATGATTTCTGAAGGATCATGTGACACTGAAGACAGGAGAAATGATGCTGAAAATTAAGTAAAATAAATTACATTTTAACATATATTAAAACAGAAAACAGTTATTTTAAATGGTAATAATATTTCTGTTTTTACTGTATCAAATAAATGTAACCTTGGTTTGTAATTTCAAACTTTTGAGTGGTAGCGCTTACAGTATTTATTTAGTTCTAATATAACAACATCTTATTCGCTGCCTTATAATGATGTTTTGGTTTCATTAATTGTCGACCAGTTTGTAATGTTGAACTCGCAGAAGTCAAATTAATCTCCCACTTATGACCCAGACAAGCCAAAGTTACTAAGAATGCACTGTTCACCCAAAGGCACAAACAACTGCTAAGTAGGCAGAAGTCTGTCTCCTCGCTAAACAGCAGAAGGAAATGAAATGACTAAATAGGCTTGTTGCACTGACCAAAACAGGAAACGCCATTAACTTTCCTCCCGAGTGGGAGTTTGTCATAATCTCATGCATTCTCTTTGAGTCTCTGTGCTTCTGCACCTGTGCTGTTCTTTCTCATCATCACAAAGAGAGATGTCTACTGCATCAGAGCCATCTGAACACAGCTGTCTCTGTCAGCGGCGGGGGCTTTTGAGGTGGACGTTCTGACTGATGGTCTATTCTGAAGCCACAGCTGATGTGCAACCTCATCCTATCATGTTCTTCAGCCAAAAATTAATATGTCTATTATTATGTCTTTCCAACCCCGTATGCAGTTGCACAAATAGATGTATGGTACTTTTTTGGAGCTTGACTGTCGTGGTCACTCTGAACTGGCTTTATTTAGAGAAGAGTTACAAAGGACTTCTTCAAAATGTATTTTTTGATGACACACACACAAAAAATAGCATATTGCTTTGGAATGACATGAGGGTGCGTAATGATGACAGAGGGGTTTGGTGGGGAGGGGTGAATTTCTTCATCAATCCTCACATGCTACCTCTCCCGCAGTTCTCGCACAAGTTGCATCATGTGTTGCGTCATGCCAGATGTCCACGAGATTGCAGAAATTATAATCTGGCCAAATCTCGGAAGTGAAAGGGCATGTCATGTGCCTCACGCACCGTAAAACCAGCCTACACTTCTTAAATGCTTCATGCTGACTTCCAACATCCACTTACTTGTGGTCTGGCTTTTATATTATATCACATTTAGCCAGTAATTCAGTGGTTCTAAACTGGTTTTGACCCACCCAGATTTTAAATCTTGTGACCCAACACAATACCAAAATATTTGTAAATACTATACTATACTATACAAAATTACATCAAATGTCATACTAAACATAATATTGCTTATATTGAATTGTATGCATGTGTATAATAATTATTAGTATAACAAAAAGATGTAGTACTTAAAACAATTCAATAATCTTTTTGTTTTATGTTCAATCGATTTTTTGACAGAAATTCATTTTTTTACAATGTGTGTGTAAAAAAGGAGAGACAGATTATATATATATAGGCATATATATACGTTATACTGTCATACAGAGAGATGTTTTATATATATATATAAATATATATATATATATAGATATATGTGTGTGTGTGTGTGTGTGTGTGTTATATTATGTTATATATATATATATATATAGAGAGAGAGAGAGAGAGAGAGAGAGAGAGAAGTATCCGATAAATACAAATCAATAAATTATTTAATAACATCCATTTCACATATGCACCATTGATTGTAACATTAAAAGAAAAGAAAATATTATTGCTGTAGTTGTTCATAAAATTATGGGTGTAGCTACATTATCTAGACGTTTAAAAAGGAAATGAACTCTACTTTGGGCGATATGGGGCAGGTTTTCCATAGCAGGTTACAACCTTGACACTGAATAGATGTTTTTACACAGTATTGGTGTTGACTAACACAACCTGCTCTAACTCAAATATGACTGTATGTCACCAGTATTGTGGAAAGATCAGAGCAAGCACACAATCTACAAGGCAAAATACTATAATGCTGCACAAAAAAAGCCCACGAGCATGGTATCATGTGGAGACCCATATGGTGACGGAAATTACTAACGATTACTCCACTACACAAGCAGAGAGCCGCCAGAAACGATGCAATGACTCAAGATTAACTAAAGATTAATGAGTGGTACGATGCTTTTCAAAGGTTCACATCAGACTGGCCGCAGGCATTAGTGCACTACGGTCTAGACAAGCACAGCTTTTCCTTCAAAGCACACAAAAACCGACCGTTCACAGTCAGGTGCATGAGAAACTATTGTTGGTTTGGACTCAACTACAACATCAATACTATAGTATTCATTGAAATATACTTAACCTTTGGAGTACTATATGAAAATGCTACACGATATGCATATCTTGATTCTAAATTATACTATACTAATGTTATTTACAAAAACTGCCACCCTTACAAAACGTCCTTATTGCAGTACCATAGTACTACCATGTTTTATGAATATGTTCCAAGGTAAAATCCTGTTTTGTCCACATTTACCATGGTATTGCTATGTATTTTACATTCCTGTGATGCAATCGATGAATATAATAATCATTCATTACTATAATAGGGTATATATCAAAGTACCATGGTGCCACGTAAGATATGTAGTTCGCTGGCAATACACACTTAAAATATAACATAACAGATATTAAGTAATGCATGCAATACTATACCTTAATACCGAATTATTACTATATTAATCATGTATGTTATTTACAAAAACCGCCACCCTTACAAAAAGTAATTTGGCATGTTGCCATGTTTTATGAACATGTTTCAAAGTAATATCATATTTATCCCATGGTAATACTATATATTTTACAATACTATGATGTTAGTAGATCGAAGTACCATGGTATTGCTATCATGTAAGGAACTGGCACTCAATATATAATATAATAAGTATTAAGTAATGCATGCAATACTAAACACTCTGCATTATTAATCAGGCATGTAAGCACACAGTTAGTGTGATGTGAAGTGTGACCTTGTTCAGATGGGTTGCTCGTGCGTCTGCCGGTGTGGAGAGGCGTGTGCGCGCGGCTGGATGAGACACAAGAACCTGTTTCACCGGGTCTTTCTCCTCGTGTGAACGTACCTGTGAAGTGCTGTAGAGTCGGTACCGTGCCCTGGACCCACAGGCTGAGCACTTGCTGCACCGATAGATTAATGGAATAATCCTTATTCATGTTCGCGCTGGGCGGCTGGAGCGCGGCCCTCTTGCTCAGAAATCTGACCGAGGATGGGGGACACATGGAGCCTCTTCACCGGTGCCGCTGCTCGCTGGAGGAGGATGGCGGAGCTGCGGTCCGTCTGATCAGCTGCTGCTCAGGGGCCATGATGGGTACGGCTGACACACACATGCACATACACACACACTCGCATACACACTCTCTCTCACTCTCACTCTCACTCGCATACACACACACGCTAGCGCTTCTGCATGGCTCTTAAAGGCGCAGCGCTCTTAAAGGGACGTGAACGTCACATTCACATTACGACCAAATACAGTAGTTTATGAATGAATATCATACATTGAATTTATACTGTATTGAATTTAGAATGAGAGAGAGAGAGTACAATTCTAAATTCAATTTATGCATGCTATTGGTTGTTAAACCAGATACTATAAAAATATAAATATATATTTGAATGTCAATGTATAATGTATATTATAATGTATAAATGTATATTTCAATGTCAGTTACATATTTTAATATTAAATAAATACTACTACTGAGGATAACAATATTTTTAATTATGTGAAATTAATCATATCAATAAATATATTGTTATTAATATTATTAATAATACTTTGTGCACAGTTTAAGTTAAACCAGATTCTATACAAAAAAATGCATTTGTATATTTAAATATCAATTAAATATTTATTATTATTATTAATTGTGGTCATTTATGAAATGATAAATAATTTCATAATATTACAAATAAAACTATCATTTACAGTTACTAATATTATTGATAATAATGTTTTAATTAAGCATAGTTTAAATTTAACCAGAATATATATAAACTTTGAATTTGTATATTTAAATAGCAATTAAATATTTCATACTAAATAATAATTAATTGTAGTAATGTATGCAATATTAAATAATTAAATAATATTCATAATAAAACAATAAACTTTTATTGTTATTAATATTATAGATAATAAATATGTTTAGATTATGCTTGGTTTAAATTCATTCAGATTCTATATAAAATCATATGAATTTGTATATTTAAATATCAATTAAATATTTAATATTAAATGATGATGATGATGATGATGATTATCTAAATAACACATACCACATATAATTTAACCACAGAATGTTATTTAAATTGATTATCATAATTAAGTGGATTTTTTACAGTCACTGTTGAAACTGCACTAGAATATTTTCTGCTAGACGCATCTCCTCTCACTGTTGCCCTGCTGAATGAGATAAGGTGTTGCTGTTCTGGAAAATTCCTGTGAAATAAAACAGATCCATTTTAGGACAGGGATCTGACAGGGTTTAAATTTAAATGTCGTCTAAGAAGCGTAGACATTAAGAAGTAATATTAATGTCTAAGCATTTCCTAAAGATACTGAAGAAGCTTTCCTAAGCTCCTGCACTTTGTGGAAGAGATCATAAGCTTAAATATGTTCACATACATAATATTACATGAGCCAAAGCACTGAAATGTTTCAAGACAAAATGTGCCAACTATCAGAATAATGCAACCTCAGATTAAATGTCTATTAATTCATCTGTAATATTGAACATAAAAGTCAAAAGAGCCACCCTTTTTTAGGACAATGAAGCAGGTTCCCAGAACAGGTTTACTGGACTGAGCATGAACTAATGGGATTTTCAATGGGACAGTGACATAAGCAGATCAGCTTCTGTTCCTCAAACACACACCCGGATAATTTTTCCACTATTTATCAGCCTGACATTTAAGCCTACGCTTGTTGTATTACCTTACAAACCCAAACCTCTCAGCTTCTGCTTTCTCATTGTAAACGCTCCATTGTAGAAGCAATATCAAATAATGGCAGTACAGCAGGTCACGTGAGGACACCACACCAAAGGACTGGATGAAATAGTCTGAAGGCAAACACCTGACACTGCACCTTTTGTGAAGAAATCCCAGCCCCTCTAAAGGGCCAAAGGGTGTGTTTTTCCAAAGGCAGAGGGAATCATTCAGCTCCAAGAAAACTGTGGGACTGCATGTACACAAACTTAAAAGCGACAGAAATTAATTCAGGCATCACAGAGTAACGAGTATCAGTCACTCAGTTTTGTGCAAATAAAGAACAAAAAGTGCTTTGCAGCTAAATAAGATGTGGATAATGAAGTAATACCAAAGTAATACCATTCATTACTTGCATAACGTATTCATAATTTATCTTTAATGACACAGACAGTAATTTGGTCTTGGTCAGGTTAGGGGTACACATTACCATAACAAACAACAATGAGATTTGCATATCACAAACACACCTCTCCCATGTGGTTCCTTCAGCCTTGAATTTAATGAGGTATGCTGAAAGGCAAAATAAATAAACAACCATCCTACTTTATTGTGATATTCCATGTGTCTTTTCTGACACAATGAAAATTGCTTGTGGAAAATTCCATGTAGTAAAATAAGTTGTTCTTTTTCACTGTATCCAGCAGATGGTGCTGTGAACTTGCATTGTACTGATTGACCCAGTAGTTTTCCAGTGTCCAACAGGTCTGTGTAATATCTGAGTACGTTTACTAGACTTGAAGCATCGTAGGTCATATGATAAAATACAAATAATGAAATAGTCATTTTATATTTGAACAAACACCTTCATAAAGCTTTAATCAACTGTAATGTTTCTGGCTAATAGATACAATTTTATATATATATATATATATACATTAAGAAGTAATATTAATGTCTAAGCATTTCCTAAAGATACTGAAGAAGCTTTCCTAAGCTCCTGCACTTTGTGGAAGAGATCATAAGCTTAAATATGTTCACATACATAATATTACATGAGCCAAAGCACTGAAATGTTTCAAGCCAAAATGTGCCAACTATCAGAATAATGCAACCTCAGATTAAATGTCTATTAATTCATCTGTAATATTGAACATAAAAGTCAAAAGAGCCACCCTTTTTTAGGACAATGAAGCAGGTTCCCAGAACAGGTTTACTGGACTGAGCATGAACTAATGGGATTTTCAATGGGACAGTGACATAAGCAGATCAGCTTCTGTTCCTCAAACACACACCCGGATAATTTTTCCACTATTTATCAGCCTGACATTTAAGCCTACGCTTGTTGTATTACCTTACAAACCCAAACCTCTCAGCTTCTGCTTTCTCATTGTAAACGCTCCATTGTAGAAGCAATATCAAATAATGGCAGTACAGCAGGTCACGTGAGGACACCACACCAAAGGACTGGATGAAATAGTCTGAAGGCAAACACCTGACACTGCACCTTTTGTGAAGAAATCCCAGCCCCTCTAAAGGGCCAAAGGGTGTGTTTTTCCAAAGGCAGAGGGAATCATTCAGCTCCAAGAAAACTGTGGGACTGCATGTACACAAACTTAAAAGCGACAGAAATTAATTCAGGCATCACAGAGTAACGAGTATCAGTCACTCAGTTTTGTGCAAATAAAGAACAAAAAGTGCTTTGCAGCTAAATAAGATGTGGATAATGAAGTAATACCAAAGTAATACCATTCATTACTTGCATAACGTATTCATAATTTATCTTTAATGACACAGACAGTAATTTGGTCTTGGTCAGGTTAGGGGTACACATTACCATAACAAACAACAATGAGATTTGCATATCACAAACACACCTCTCCCATGTGGTTCCTTCAGCCTTGAATTTAATGAGGTATGCTGAAAGGCAAAATAAATAAACAACCATCCTACTTTATTGTGATATTCCATGTGTCTTTTCTGACACAATGAAAATTGCTTGTGGAAAATTCCATGTAGTAAAATAAGTTGTTCTTTTTCACTGTATCCAGCAGATGGTGCTGTGAACTTGCATTGTACTGATTGACCCAGTAGTTTTCCAGTGTCCAACAGGTCTGTGTAATATCTGAGTACGTTTACTAGACTTGAAGCATCGTAGGTCATATGATAAAATACAAATAATGAAATAGTCATTTTATATTTGAACAAACACCTTCATAAAGCTTTAATCAACTGTAATGTTATAGATACATAGATACAATTATATATATATATATATATATATATATATATATATATATATATATATATATATATATATATATATATATATATATATATATATATATATGTGTGTGTGTGTGTGTGTGTATTAAAAAATTGAATGTATATTCATAGAGTTATTCAAATGTAATGTTTCTATCTATCTATCTAGAAATGTTATGTTTGATATATTTGTGTGGTGTTGCGAATGTTTTTTGAGCAGTATGTGAAATGTGAATATGCCAGCTCTCAGTCTGACTGTAAAAGCTCTCACCCTTTCATCAGAATGGCCTCAGGTATGTAAATGTGAATGATTCTCACAGCAGCTGCATCTAAATCTGTACATGTGCATCGGTTGATGTTAGTGTGTAACTGAATCTAAGGGAGTGACATAGCTGGAAGCGTGCAATATCTATCTATTCATACTTTTTTCTGGATTCTCACATTGTCTGTTTCTTGATTTCTTCAGGTGACTCACATTGTGTGCAGCTCATCTGAATATTACAGCTGTCAGAGTGACCCGATTCACTAGAACAATCAAGTTCCAGCCACAGACCTCACTGAACAAATGCAACATGACACCCGGCCTATTCATCACCCTAAATTTCCCCTTTCATTTTACTTTTTTTTTTGCTTGCTGGTGGTTCATTGTCATATACGTTGGTTCAAAGGGTTTCAGAAACTTCCAAGTTGAAGTTGTAATTTTTAAGTTAATTTTTTTTATTATATTTGAAAATAATATTTTAATTATATTTTAATGCATATATAAATTGAATTAGTTGAAATGCTAAAAACATACAAAATCAAGTTTGTTTGTTTATTTTTATTTATTTATGAACAGTTCCTTTACTGAAATAAATGAACTTTTCCACGACATTCTAATTTATTGAGATGCACCTGTATATACACAAATGAATGATATATTGAAAACAAGCAGCTAAGCAGTATATTTGAACTCAAATTCTAAAAATGAAGACAAAAATATATAATTGTTGTAGCTTACTATTGTAAAATTTTAAAAATAATAATATTTGATAATTATAATAAATGAGCCGCATACTTCACTCTAAAATTTACAGTTCATTAGTTATTAAATTGCAGCCTTTAATATGTGGACTAAGCTAAATTGCGATTATTGTGCAGCCCCATTTATTTTTTACATTCAATGTAAATAAATTAATTC